CGGGGAGAGCGCGGCCGGGGCCGGCAGTGGAGGGCGAGGCCCTCTCCGGATGGAAGGGGACAAGCCCGCCAACCTGGGACCCCAGGCGCGCAGGTTCCCTTTGGGGGTAAGGCACAAACACGCAGCCAGGCTCCAACAGGTCACCACTGGGGTTTGGGAGAGAGAGGGTGTTTGCGGCCCCCAAGGGGAGTGCCTAGTTGGGAAACCGAGTTGAGCGGGGAAGCTGGACCCGCCTCTAACTCATCCCGGTTCAGGGTGGGCCCTTGGACTGTCCGAACTGTGACCTGCTAAGGACCAGCCACCGCCATGGGCATGGCAAAGGATTCCGTAACCACCGTGCCTGGGTCTGCCCTCAACAGCAACGTGGAATCTTGGGCCACGCAGCAGGCCCGGGAGATTGGCCGCGGCTCGTAGGAAGGAGCGTGCACGTGGAGTGCTCTCCCGGAGCATCCGAGTAGATATTATTGAGCTTGTCTTCCTCAAGAACTGTCTTCACAGGCAAGGAACTAAGGTCCCAGCCTCCACTTCACACCCTTGCCATACATACCCACTGGTTCACATCTGTGTCTCCCTGAACAAGCACAGAAAATCTGTTGTCACAAAGTTGTTCCACCTTGAAGTCTTTCTCGCTGTTAACAGCGTGTTCTAGAGAAGGGCAGATGGGAGGATTCGGCGTCCTCTCCAAGACCATTGCCCAGTTGGGATCGGTTGGCCACGAAAGGAGCCAAAGAAGATGCTATCTGAATTACTGGTGAAACTAGCAACATGGAAACACTGACCTGAAAGTGAGAAGAACTTTGCTGTACCAAAGGGACTGCTCTGGAATCTAACCAATCATAACTGCCTTAGAGAGTGAACTGTGTTTCCGTCCACCGAAACTCTCCCTTCAACCTCATGACAGGCCTGCATTTCTCAAAGAGCTAATTCCACATTTTTCCAGGGAGATGAGAAACCTTACTGTGTGGTAAATCCCACAAACAGGCCCATTTTTCACCAATTAATCTCTGCCCACAGCCATGACCTAAAACAGACCATTTTCGTATATGGCCATAGTTCACATACATAGCAGAAATCGCTGCGAAATTAGCACAGGCATTTGACCAAGATGGAAAAAAGGACCAGAATTCCGTTACCTTTTCTGTCTCTTGAACAAAGGAAAAAATATTTAATAGAGTTTTCAAATTGATTACTCAAATGCTTTCCTTAAAAGATCAAAAGCCACGGTGATCTTTCTCTACCATGACAATGGAAGTTTTTTTAAGTATCATTTCAACACAACTCAACAAATACATTTTTAAAATGATATGCACAGCGCTCATCACTACCAAAGATTAAAGTAGGAACCTTTGTGGATACATTTTGAGCTTTTACAGAAGGGCATGGCAAAACTAGCACATAAATTCTCATAAGAAATAATAAACTATTGGGGCGCCTGGGTGGCTCAGTCGGTTAAGCCTCTGCCTTCAGCTCAGGTCTTGAGCACAGGGTCCTGGGATGGAGCCCTGAACTGGGCTCCCTGCTTAGCCAGGAGTCCGCTTCTTCCTCTGCCCCTCACCCCGCTCTCGTGCTCTCTCTCTCTCCTCAAATAAATAAATAAAATATTTAGAAAAAAAAAGATAATAAACTGATTTGAAAATTAGAACAAATTCAGATTAAAGTTGTTGTTTTAAAGCCTCAGTTAGTAATTTGAGGTGGGATAGGCATGGTAATAGTAATGGACTAGAAATCCGTTTCATAGCTTCTAATCCTGGCCCAGCCATTCATGCCCCAGCATTGAGCAAGTCACGTTAACATTTCCAGGCCTTGTTCACCTCAGTTGTAAAATTGCTGGAAGTTAATTCTGATGAGCTTTAAGGTCCCTTCCAGTCTTAAAAAGGTTGATTTCTGTATGACAAAAATATATAGGCATCCTTAGGATCCATGCTTCCGATTGCCAAGAGCAACCTTTGAATTATTTGTACCATCAAACTAAAGAAAACTCTCAGTGTTGACAAATCAAAAGAATTTGTATCAAAGAATTATTATCTGGCAAGTAAAATTTAAAATACTCCTCATACTCCCCAGTTCTTTCATCTTCTTTCAGCTGTCCTCCCACGTCTTTATAAGGCTAAAAGCCCAACTTTTTCAATAACCTATGTTTGGAATGCATACCTCTAAACACCAACCCCAGCACCTGCCAGGATTCTAAAATAAAATGTAAGGACATAACTAAAGACCATCAGTTTACTTAACTAAAAATATGCACAAAAAGAATGAGCTTACTATGTTTATAGCAACTCCCTTCTCTGTTTACAATCCATGTCAAAGATTATTAGTAAGCTGCATTTCTTAGAGTTCAAATTATTTAATTATTCTTTTGCCAGATTTAAACAACAAATAGAATTACTTAGCTCTTGTCTTTAGGTTCAGGAATGTATGACCATTATCTGTTGTGGAAAAAAGACCTAGAGTCACGGCACACCTTTGACTTTTCTCAGTACTCTACCCCTGTCTTATTTTACCTGACTTTGCCTTTGCTCACATCTTGACCCATGAATTCTCCACCAGAATCATTCTCCCAGTTTGATGATGCATGACATGGAATCCTAGTGCTTACCACCCGGCTCCCGAGTTGTTCTGGTGCAATGCAACCCTGTGTGTATTCTTCTATTCTGAATGGGCTCCGTGCTGTCAAGTTCCAAAGACCAGTTTTCCCATGTTCCTCGGTTTGTAGGATGAGAATTTTGTTCTCCATTTTAGGTACCCACACCAGTAAGTTGATAGTGCCCCCAATTAACTATGGAAGAACTAAAACCCTGTGTAGGTCTTTCCAGTCCCAGGGCCAAAAGCTCTGCCCCTAAACACTAGTTCACTAGTCTGAGGTTCACTGGTCTAGTAGCTAAGGATCCCCCTTGACAGGCCTTCTACATGCCCCTGCCTGCCCACCTGTCTAACCTTATAAGCAGCAGTTGCAATGTCCCATTACTGGGCTCAACCCAACTGTTAGAACACCTGCCTCTTCATCTGGGACCTCTGGTGCTCACCATTGCTGGCCTGGAAATTGCCTTCTCTGTAAATTACCTTGTTCTCTCCTTAACCTTCATCCTCAGAGAAGGGAAATAACAATTGAGCCTCATGGTAGGTCTCAGCTCCTCCTCCCCACCTGCCCTGTCTTCTGATAAAGTGCAACTATCTGTCCTTGTAACTTGCACTTTAAACCTTTTTTAAGAAGATAGGATTATTTTCTAAATAAAATCCAGATGTAAAGAAATCCATGTCTCAAGCAGTATTCCCAGAAATTCCCTTCTAAAATTAAATATTTGTAAATGGATGTTAGCAGCTACACCTGTTGGTGACTATTACAGTTATGATCATGGAATGTAAGAAGGAAGGGATGGTAAAGAGGTTGGATGAGAAGTAGGACTCAGTCCAGTCATTATCGCTGTCCTGTGGTCAGGTGACTCCTTAGGGTCTGACTCCTCAGGATGATAATGAGCAGCCTCTAAGGATTTGCTAAGAGCAGTGGAAAAGCAGGGGATAATTGGTTACCAGTTCTTTAAGAGCTTTTTATTACTGTTCCCATTCTGCATTGTTGCCTCTCAACCAGCATTTTAAAACGTTTTTCAAGAGAAATATTATGCAAACAATCTAATGGTTATGTGGGAGGGAGCGGGGGAATGGGCGAAACAGGTGATAGGCATTAAGGAGGGCACTTGTGATAAGAACCGGGTGATGTATGGAGGTGTTGAATCACTATATTGTACACCTGAAACTAGTATAACACTATGTTAACTGACTGGAATTTAAATTAAAACTTAAAAATAAAAGAAATATGATGCAAATAAAAGCAGAATGCTCTTATTGAAGTGGAGGTGCCCCTGAGGCCTGAGAACACCGCCTACCCTGACCTGAAGCTCCTCTCTAGAACCCCTGGGCAAAAGGAGGGTAGAAAGGGTGGGGAACAAAGGAAGGAAGGAAGGAAGGAAGGAAGGGAGGGAGGGAGGGAGGGAGGAAGGAAGGAAGGAACGATGGATGGGAGGGAGGAAGGGAGGAAGATTTTAAACCTCTGAAATAGAACATAAAAAAATGGATTTGAATTGGATTTGGGGGCTTAGAACTGAGTGCTCTTTCTAAAATGCAGTTTTTCTAGAGGCGCCTGAGTGGCTTAGTCAGTTAAGAGGCTGCCTTCAGCTGGGGTCATGATCTCAGGGTCCTGGGATCAAGCCCCACATGGGGCTCCCTGCTGAGCGGGGAGCCTGCTTCTCCCTCTCCTCCCTGCTTGTGTTCTCTCTCGCTATCTCTCTCTCTCTCTCAAATAAATAAATAAAATCTTAAAAAAATAAATAAAATGCAGTTTTTCTGAATTCAGTAATAAAGCAGCCCTAATTTCTGAGGAATAACGATATAAAGCAGTCTGACAAATTCTAAGTACCAGTCTGAGATTCCAAATTCCTAAAACTAGAGCCATTCCTTAAGGTATATGAAAACCTTATAAAGTTTTGAAAGAATGAAAGAATTAGCATTTACAAATATACATTTGAAAGTCAAATAGACTGGCTTTTCTCTGGTATAGAAAGGTCCCTGTGTTCAGTGTGCAGTGGTGACTCGATTGTCTATGTTAAAATACCCATTTCCTTCCAGCTAACACTCATCTCAGAATCTGAGCCTCACTTTGACTCACTCTTGTTTTTTAAAGATTTTATTTATTTGTTTGTTTGTTTATTTATTTATTTAAGAAAGAGAGTGGGGAGGCACCTGGGTGGCTCAGTCAGTTAAGTGATTGCCTTCGGCTCTGGTCATGATCCCAGGGTTCTGGGATTGAGCTCCATGTCCAGCTCCCTGCTTGGCAGGGAGTCTGCTTCTCCCTCTCCCTCTGCCTGGTGCTCCCCCTGATTGTGCTCTCTCGCTCTCAAATGAATAAATAAAATTTTTAAAAGAGAGAGCGAGTACATGTGTGTGCGCGCATGCGCGCATGTATGGGTGTGAGTTCGAGAAGGGGTAGGGGCAGAGGGGGAGAGAGAGGGACGAGCAGACTCCATGCTCAGCACAGAGCCCAACCTGTGGCTTGCTCTCAAGACCCTGAGATGAAACCAAGAGTCGATGCTTAACCGACTGCACCACCCAGGTGCCCCTTGACTCATTCTTTAGTTCATCTTGACAAGTATTTACTGAGTGTCTACTATATGCAGAGCACTCTGCTAGATGCTATTTAGAACTTTAAAAACTATAGAGGTCTTTAGAAGCTTCCTCAAGCTGCAGCTCTATGTGGGAGATAGGGCCTATGCACATAGACTGTTAAGGAGCACAAGAGAAAATATGGTAAACTCTGTCGAGAACAGTGCTTCAGACCTATTAAAGAAGAGAGGAGCGCCTGGGTGACTCAGTGGGTTAAGTGTCTGCCTTCAGCTCAGGTCATGATCCCAGGGTCCTGGAATGGAGCCCCACATCTGGCTCCCTGTTCAGCAGGGGAGTCTGCTTCTCCCTCTCCCTCTGCCCCCCCCGCCCCCCTGCTCATGCTCTCTCTTTCAAATAAATAAAATCTTAAAAAAAAA